TTTAGAATTTTGATTACCACTACGGCTCTCTGCAAAGTGCGCGTTAGTGCATGCCTTGTGTATAATCGGGATCCGTCATAACTACTTGTAAGCGTGTTAATGAACTTAGGGCAGGGGCCTAAGTGTTTGCGTTTCATTGGATGGGTGAGAGTAAATTATGTCTATATTTTAGCTTTTTGTTCGAGATTCGCAGATTTTCAGTATCACTGCATCTTGCCCTCCCCCAGTTCTTACACCTCTCACACTGAATAGGTTTACTTAAGCTATTCAAGTTATTACATGTACTCTACTTTGAGTTTGAGCATTAATTTTATCTTTCACGTTTATTATATGAATCATTACACCCAGATTGGTTCATGACAGTCGATATTCTGGTTCTAGGCCTTTTCCCAGGCTCAAAACAAGATTCATTTTTATATAGTTTATGTGTGCAGGCGAATATGATGAAGGTAAAATAAAAATAAGTCGCACAAGACCACAGTGCGCCTCCACTTTCTGTACGTAATCAAGATTGTAAATATTTGGTAAGTGACTCTTACTTGAAATTATCTTCCAAACCCTCAAACTTGTATGAAATAACCTTGCTTTGATAAATTGATGGTTTTTATTTCAACATTCTAGGGTCCCACAGTATAATAATAGTTGGTGTCTCGCGAAAATGGGCTTTTGTCGCGATCACGCGGAAAGTTCCTCCTTTTAAAAAAATTCTGAGTTGAGACCCATGAAAAAATAATGTTCCTTCCCTCATTTTTCCCTCATTTTCTTGTCTTTTTCCTCCTCCCCTCATTTTTCTTTCCTTTTTCCTCCTCCCCTCATTTTTCTTTCCTTTTTCCTCCTCCCCTCATTTTCTTGTCTTTTTTCTCTTCCCCTCATTTTTCTTTCCTTTTTCCTCCTCCCCTCATTTTCTTGTCTTTCTCCTCCTCAGGCCAAACGGCTGCAACAGAAAGAGAAGAGACGGCAGGCAGAGATGGAGAAAAGACAAGCCAACGTGAGTCGCTGGTTTAGGGCTGTTGTGGAAATCTGTTGTTTAGAACTGCTGTTGAAATCTGTTGTTTAAAATAGATCTTTCAGTCGGTTGTTAAAATCTGTTGTTTAGAACAGTTGTTTCAGTCAGTTGTTTAAACCTCTTATTTAGAGCATTTTTTTTTCAATTTCATTATTTTGAGCTCCTGATTTCACAATGATGCCTCACACATAGATTACACAACTGCCGTTGTTTTAGTCACACGCTACTGTCTATATGTCCAAATGCACAATGCTTGAAAAGACTGATATACTTTACTTCGCGGAGTCGACATTAGCATTTGTCACAATCTGCTGCTATTTCTTGGGTGGTTGGCGGGTGCTCTGGTGTGGTTTGCTCCTTCACTCTTATCAACATCTATCATCTTTATCTCCCCTCTTTCTTTTTTGTGTTTGTTACTCTCTTGTAACACCTCTAATCTTCGGCACTATTTGACCTTATTGTGTTTCAAGTGCCGTAAAACTCTTACTAAAACTAAAAAAGGCGTTTGTCGCAATCTGCTGCTATTTCCGGCTACAACAGGAGGAGCCAGAAGTGTATCTGGGACAGGGAGAAAGTGACGGTGGGGACGAGGGTGAACTGGCCGAGGACAGCGACGCTGAACGTGAGCGAGTGGGCCGCGGACAAGGAGAGATGGACACTGGAGGTGATGAGGACAGTGCGGATGAAAGTGGAAGCGACGGCGAGCGGGAAGAAATGGAGGACAGTGAAGGAGAGGAGGAGGAAGAGAGTGACGGTGAAGATGAGGGGTAAGCAATTGTGTAGTCTGTCTGTCTCTGTGTTTTCTGTTCTGTCTGTCTGTGTTTCAAGTCTGTCTGTAGTTTCTATTTTGCCTGTCTGTATTTTATATCCTGTCTGTTTGTGTTTTCCATTTGATCTGTCTGACCTGCCACACACGTCAACAAGACTCCCATTTCACTCGGCCCACATCATTCTCTCGTCGTGACATGTGCACCAGAAACCACAAACAAGACAAACAGACTCCTTCGCCCCCGCTCTCGGCTCCTGACTCTTTCTGCAGCCTTTCTACTACTACTCCTTGGCTCCAACCACACGCAGGTGCTCTGCTCCATCCACTTCCTATCAGCGTTACAATAAATTACCCTTTGTTATCATTAACCAGGATCTAATGATGACAAAGGGTAATTTATTGTAACGCTGATAGGAAGTGGATGGAGCAGAGCACCTGTGTATGGTTGGAGGGTGCTGCTCATGTGTACATCCTATTTTTTTATTTTCCATTTTTTGTGTCTGTCTGTCTGTCTGTCTGTCTGTCGATCTTGCTTTTTCTCTGTGAAACAAACAAATAGTTGAGCTCTTCGTGAAGGTCAAGGTGAAATCTTGTCCAATGTCTGACTCTCACGGGCTCCACCTGGTGACAGATTTGCCTGTGTGTAGTGCTGGGCACTCGGTGGCTGCCCTCATGTGTTTGTGTTGGCCGGGTCTGATCCAGGCAGAATGTGACTGGCTCTTCTCTTTCT